AATGAAAAGAATACAAAAATACTTTACAAAAAAATACTATCTTCAGACATAAGTACATATTTATTTCTACAGAAATTGAACTTTTCTTGCCTTTATGTTTGAATAATCTGCTAACAAGCTGTCTAAAACTTCATGTTCGCTAGAAACTATAGCTAAATTACTTAGTCTTTGCTGGTGCATTGTTGACCTCAAAAGGTTTGTTTTAATCTTTAACTTTGAAAAAATTCATTTCACCGGATGCAACTGGCAATGTACGCAATATTCGTAGAGCAATTGATGTGTCTCGAAATGTTGAAATTAAATCATTAGTAAAAAGGTATTGTAACAAAGTATGATAATCATTAGACAGATTTTTTGGAAAGTGCAATTTCAAAGCTCTAATTCCATTAAATGAATCGATACTGTCAATGTCAGTTTCGCCAGTAGATTTGTCTTTAAGCTTAAGATTCAAATTTTTACAATGTATCATTAAGTCATCGTTGCAGTAATTAAATAAGTTATGGTTTAAAAAGTCAAGTACGTCAGTAAAAGTCTAACTCCTCGGATGTGTCCTTTAGACAGGTTAGCGTTTGATCTAAGATTCCGAAAAACAAGTCTACTTTGTATTTAATCTTGGGATCCAGTAACGCTTCGTCACTGTGTTCATATTGAAATTGGGTCGGTCTTCTTCTAAGACGAATCGGGTTTATTGGCAGGAACTTTGCTTCTACGTTATGGTCCCGAACTACATTAGTAGCTTCTTGTAATAGCTTCAGAAAGTGCTCATCTGTGCGATATTCGGTTAACTTAATAATGAATTTTTCCAACAAATTTGCATGTTCATTGTGGGGCTTTGCATCATTTTGCTTAAAGCATTCATTTCGTTCAAAGTATCAAACCAAATTATTATTGAGCAAGTCAATCTATAATTTTGAATGCTCAGCGCAAGCGAATGAGTTTTGTGAGATGTTGCACGGTCCCATTCTCGCGAATTCTTACCAGATATTTCGAGGAAAGAATCAAATATTCTTGCATGATGGTACCGTAATGGTTTGACTGCATCGATTCTGCTAGACCATTGTGTGGCACTTAGAGCTTTTAATTTGAAATTAGGTAAATGTTTGCAAATTATCGACCACCTCTTTGTAGATGATACAAAAATTCTTGAATTATATCAAAGAAATTCAGTTTCGTGCGAAATATTTGCTGCATCATTGACGAACGAATTTAGAGTGTGAGATGAGCAAGGAACGTGAAATGCATGACTGTTGATTTCCAAAATTTTTTTGTTTCGATTTCTGTTTTTGTAGCCCTTGTGCGGTTCATGCTCTACACGCCCGCATGCAGCGGGTCCCGCGTACTTCCAAATTATAGAAGGTCCAAGGATTAGAGGACAGACAAACAGACAGAAGTGACATGGTTTCGAAGTGATGTAGATGTCATATGCCATCCAAAAAGAGATATCACATTACAATACATTCTCGCCGTAGGTGTGGGAAGTAAAAGCAGCGCTAAAGTGGGATAGCATCGTTGACTCGGATTACTTGAAATAAACTTGTGACCATTCAAGGTTCGCCTTCTGACGTTTCTAAGATGCTTGGCGATTTCCCGGACATTTTTAATGTTGTGAAAAATTCTAGCATTTCTCTCAATATTTTGGCACTGCCGCATCGAGAACTTGTCCGATAATTCATGCTTACATGACTAGTATGTCCCTGCTTTAGAATATACGAAGCTAACATTTATGTATTTATATGTATGTAATAATTATTTGTTAATGAATGCTAGTTAAATGTGTACGCATGGACTTTAAAAATTAAAAAGCCTTAACGCAGTAGATCCCCAGATCATTCAAAAACTCGACGGTTCTTCCGCGCATAAAAAAAAACAAAAGGGCCTCTTTCCGGTTCCAGAGAGCCAGCTGCGTATAACAACGGTCAAGGCCAAGTTATTTGTTCGCCATGGCTTTCAATATTTCCTGAAACTATTATGAGTAAACCACTTTGCATTATAGTTTTTTATTTCATATTATAAAGGCTGTCCCAATAGGTACGTCGGAATTTCAATTTAGCATAATTGTTTAACTACTTGTTATTTTATTATATTGCGCATATGTCATGTAGTCATCTGGGAGTTCACTTATAGTTTTACTACGGAGGAACACATCAGTATTATGCAAATCTGCTGGGAATTTTAATATATAGTAGTGTAAACCTTTCATAGCTTCATTTAGATAACATACACCTTAACCCTTGGATCCATGAGACCGTTAACTTTGAAAAAACTATTTTCAAATACCAATTGCAACAGTTGCTTAATTATTGTATGTGCTTAGAAACTAATTAAAGCTGTGTTATGTTATTACATAATATAACCTTTTTTAAATATCGATTTTATATTCTTAATTACTAAAAATGTCATGTTAAAAATTAACTATTATTGTATGTATCCCATAAATAAATTCCTACATACATATTACACTTTCCTACACATAATAAATCATACATGTTTTTATTATTTTTGGCAGTCATTGAGGTTCCCACACTTTACAATGAACCTCATTCGTACATTTTATGGGTATTTAAAATTTAAAAGTCCGGTGAGAGGTGGCACATTGTCTACATAGTTACAGATAACTCCCACACTTTATCCTGGAATTCAAAATTAGAGATTTATAAATAAAGTTGGTCTTTCCATATTTAAACCGGTGCGGTGTGCCCGATTTTGGGCCATTGGCGATCATTTATAGAGGATAGAATCGATTAGGGATCTTTAAAACTGACATTCATGCATCTCGTTTAGACTTGATTTGATGAAAAAATCCATTTGGTATTTTTTTTTAAGTCGCGAATAAATGAATATTTCAGCTGTGCGCGGTGGTCTAAAATTCTGAAATTGACTTTTATGTTATTCATGAATATTTTTTATAGTTGAAGATGTATCGCAGAACTTTGATTCAAAGTCTAAAAAAATCATATAAACACGTCCGCGAAACTACACCATTTTGAAAATATATGTCCTCAAAATTTAAAATGGATTTTTTTTCTTGCTTGGGCTATTTAATCGAGACCTTTCTCTTATTCGATTTTACCTAAACTCTAACAGAAACAGAATTTTGCAAGATTATCAAATGGTTCAACTCTAGACTTTTAACCGTAAATTACAACAAAACTTGTTACATCCCATTTTCATCCTGTGAACGATATATGCCCAAATATTCAAATTTAAACATAAAACTGGAGAACAACCAAAATGAACCATTACAACTAACTTCTTCGCGCAGTGTTAAATATCTGGGGGTGTACCTAGATTCTACCCTTAAATGAGACACGCACATACATTTCGTAATTAAAAAATTGCGTACAATACTTTACAAATTGAAATATCTTATGAAATACTATTACTTCTATCAAATGAAAGTACTTTATTATTCACTAGTTGAGAGCCATTTGAGGTATGGTGTGATCGCGTGGGGAGCAGCGTGTAAGACACACATGAAAAATCTTGAGACAATACAAAAGTACATTCTAAAGGTAATATATAATAAGCCAAGAATATACCCAACAGAACAATTATATACCGAAATTAGAGTGCATGATATTCGACAACTCTACTTCATCCAAACCATCATGAAGCAGCACCAACTAAAATATAAGTTACGCCAAACTGAGCATGACTATGATACCCGCCACAAAGTGAGAGCATGTTTACCAAAGCCTCATGTCAATGTCATGCAGATATCATTCCAATAACTAGGACCTAAGCTTTATAATAGTTTGCCTATTATCTTAAAACAGTATAATTCTATGCAGTTTAAAAAAGAACTAAAAAGTGTATTAATGAAATAACACATACATCAGCTGATTTTTTCAAATATGTATATATAAAAACGATTTTTTTTAAACTGTCATGGAATTTTTTTTAAAAGTTCTTAATATATACATAAGGTTAAGCATATCCAAGCATGCAGCAGCTAAAGCAAATGAACCTCCTAATATGACATTCTCTGATTCGTGGCACACCCGATTATGACGATTGTACCTGACAATAATAGATACTGATATAGACTGAATATTGGATAGACATCTCACCACGCACAGGCTTTGCCTTCTGTGGGTATTTCATATTTATTTGCATGTTTTTTATTTCACCTATAACATTTGTAATTGAATTGAAAGCAAATAAATATTATTATTATTACTATTATCTAAATTATCGGCGATACGTCTGGCCTTCTAAATTTCTATATATTTTGATACAGTCGGCTGATGGGTTATTACTATTTTTATAAAAATTCGAATGTCCAAAAAAAGTTTGACAGCCCTTATCTTGAAGAAGAGTCATTTCGGAATCCATATTTATACGATTTTTTTTCATAGAATCACTCAATTAACCTTTCGTTAGCCAGATGCTTTCTTAACTTCCTGAATAACAACTTCTATTGGAAACAGCAGGCAGAAAGGTCAAGAATCTATCACAATTGCGAACATGAGAATTTAAAAACTGGCATACACTGTAACAACAGAACTATGCCACTTTGATTAGCATTTTACGTCATACAACAAACATATCCATTTACCATAACGGCCATAAGCCATAACTCACTGAAAGTGCTTTAATTATTAATGATAATCACCATTATCTAAGCATAAATTACTTAAAGTTGGTTTCTTGGAGGAAGTTGTTAAAACAGACGTGCAATTTTTTTCGCGCACCAGACAGTTAATAACCTTGATGAAGATAATAACTAATTCTCATGTAATTAACGCTACGTTGGTTTTATAACAGTTTTTTTAAATTTTAAATGGTTTAAAACCCCAATGGAATTATTATAAAGTGCCTCAAACATGAATTAGTAGAAACGCCTAATGTTTGTCTAGTACGCTTGCTTCCTTTTCTCTTGATTTTTCAAAAGCAGCGCTCAAATATAGCATTGCATAGTCGGAGCTGTGAGCTATTCATATAATTTGAATTTGAATTCAACTGAAATTGTCAACTATCTGTTAACCATATACTTTGTGCATACTATTTTGATAATATTTTTGAGATTTAGACTGTTGGAGACAACTATTAGAGCTAACTATATAATTTCTAGCAATACTAAAAGATTATTGGAACTATTCATACGTAACCTTCTTGAACGACACTCTGAAGAAACATTTTGCTATCGGCAAATTGTTAGGCATAAATCTCAATGTTTTGGCTTGTAGCTGTAAAAATTCTAGCGCTTTGCTATAATTTGACCTAAGTATCTGTTGCTTTTTGCTATCCGCAACGTAAATAATCCTAATTAGCATGTATATAATAGTTTATAATTTGATGTGTTATGCAAACTGATTCTATTGTCCCGTTTTTTAAAAGCTCAAACATTTTATCTTCCATTATTGAAACGTTTCAATTGCGTAAATAGTTGTTTATATTAGCAATGTTGTTAATGTAGAATTTGAAAACGGTATTCCATCCATAGAATGTATCTTGTTTAATGATTGCCTATTGATATAGTTTTTCAAGTACAGCAAAGTGAATAAATAGTCTGTATTGTGTCGTTTCTCTAAATGTAGCATGACGTAACCCTCACATCATACAATGATATCTTCACCTTTGTTAACAACTTATCCATAAACATAAATTCATGTTGTTGTCCAACAACTGGTGGTTGCCTGGAAATCCTTCATAAGGCCTTTGGGAGAACAACTGGGGACTCTGTATATGAAGCAGCATGAAAAGTATAGTTATCAGAAGTGTTCATACTATAGACCTCTATCTTTGCTTTTCAGTGTATTTCTATGAATAGCTCTTACTTGTAGTATGCTTAAAGGTTCTCTGTTGTTTCAGGTCTGTGAAGAACAGAAATGTCAAGACGAAGTCTTCTCCCTAGCAATGAATTATATGGACAGATTTTTAATGTGTTGTTCAATAATGAAAAATCAATTGCAGTTATTAGGAACAGCGTGTATGTTATTAGCGTCTAAATTAAGGGAATGCAGTCCGTTAGCGGGTGAAACATTAGTATACTACACAGACCATAGTATTACGAAACAGCAGCTTTGGGTGAGTTGCATGAATATTTTTATTTTGTAGCATTTATTACCTAAAAAGCTAAAAACCCACTTCCATATGTGGGAAGAAAATGGCGTCAAGCAGGTTGAATCTCTACTTCTCGCGCAATGCTATCATAAATGATCAGATATTTTTGGCATAAGTTAGCTCCTCTGAGAAAAAAATATAGCTACGGATGTGTTCAAAAAAGAAACGATCATGTCAGGCAAGCAGGCATAGACTTATTTACGGGGAAATCTACGATGTGTCAAATATGTCTAATATGTGTGTAGAATTAGAATTGGGATATTCTCTTCAGCACCCCCCACAACCCTCAATTTGTAACCCCTACAATATTTTTTCTGAAGTTGAGCTTTTTTGCGGATGTGTTGGATGTAACAGACACGTCATCTGTAATAACACGTATCAGACACCAGGGGCCTATATCACGACCACTACAAGAGTATTACAAGTCGACCAGTTAAAGTAATTTGCCGTACTTCATCACTTAATTCTGTATCATTACGCAACTAACTATACTTGTGATTACAAGTGAAAGAAATTGACATTACAGACATGCCGACTGGGAGAGGCTTCTTCTCTAGCTTTCCTTGGAGAGATGCCTGTTTCACTGACGCGGATGCGTCGGCTGTCTGTTCTTCGATAAAAGAAATTATCCACGTCGGAATGGAGGAATACATTCCTCACACAGTGAAAGTGCCACACCAGCCGTTGGACCCTGGTTTAATAAATCGTGTGACACTGCTCGCCAGCAGAAGATCAAGGCACACAGTACCTTCTTACAAAACTCTACTGTAGACAAACCAGCACGATATAAAAGTTAGGCACAGGGTAATGTCGCAGCGCAATGGCAGTCGGTCTTTCTGGACGCTGGCCAAGCAGATTGAAAAGAACTTCTCACACAGTAGCCTTCCACCACTTACGTGTCACGATGGAACTATTGTATTCGACTCAAAGGCCAAGGCGGATGTGCTAGCCAAGATCTTTGCTGCCAACCTCCACCATGGACGTCCCCCCAACGCCCCAAGCGCCGTCATTCAAAGGGTTCCATACACTATGCGGGAGGTAACATACAGGCATAAGACCGTAAGACGAGTGCTCTGTCTCTCGGACATCAACAAAGCTCTTGGTCCGGACTTGATTCCTGCCATTGTACTGAAGAGGTGTGCAGCGGCTTGCTCCAGGTCTTTCGCGCTCTTTCAGATATTTGATGAATCCGGCACTTTCCAGAAACTGGAAATTTACTCATGTCACCCATCCCCAAAAAAAAGGATCTAGCCGACCCTATAATTAAGGCCTAAGGCTCTGCTTTCTGTATAAGTAAGGTGAGGAGAGGTGCATAATTCGCGTGGTTCTGACTACCTCGACGTCACAGCTTGATTAGCGACAGGCAGTATGGTTTCCGGGCACCAACGATCCTCAGGGGACCTCCTAGCTTACGTCCGCAATTGTGGAAGTAAACTCATCCAGTCTTACGGTGAGGCTCATGTCGTTGCTCTTGACATCACGAAAGCGTTCGATCAGCTGTGGCACGCTGCTCTCTTAAGCAAACCTCCATCCTATGGCCTGCCAGAAAAGCTTTGCAGATGGGTGGCTGACTTTATCTCTGTCCGCAAGATATCCGTCGTAATTCGCGGGTTCTGCTCTTCATCCCACAACGTCAATGCGGGTGTTCCCCAGCGATCGGTCTTGGCTCTAACACTGTTTCTCTTAAATATTAACGGCCTCCTTTCCTGCACCATCAACCCAATGAACAGCTTCGCTGATGGCAGCACTCTACATGCAGGAATTCAGAGTGACAAGCCGATCTCTGCCACTGAGCTGGAAAAAAGAAGACCAGCGACGACTTCCTCTCTGACAAGAGACCTGGAGGCTATCACTCACTGCTTGGGAACGCAACAATCTTGTACAGTTCAATGCTTCCAAAATACAGTACTGTACTTTGACAAACAAAAAGCGTCCAAGCGCTCATCCAGTTTCGATGGACGGCCGAGTTCTGCCAAAGAGCCATTCATTTCGGCTAGTCGGAGTCCAGATCACCGAGGACCTGATCTGGCACGAACACATCTCTTCAATAGCTGCAGCTGCTGAGAAAAAGTTAGGCTATTTGTTTAGGGCTAAGAAGTACTTTTCTCCGCATGACCTCCTCACTCTATACAAGGCCCAGATAAGGCCTAGCCTCGATTATTAGTCACACGTTTGGGGTGCTGCCGCCCCGACTACATTATCCATGCTCGATGCTGTCCAGAGGAGGGCGGCCCGACAGATCGATGACTCTTCTCTAACAGACAGTCTCGGGACTCTTTCACACTAGCGGGTCGTCGACGATCTAGCTCTTTTCTATCGCTACACCAACGGGCTTTGCTCCTCAGAGCTCTATTCCACGATGTCGCCGCGCGATGTGCCTGCCAGACAGACCCGCCTGACTTTGGCGTCCCATCCTAACCATGTCACACTTCGTACATCCAGAACTGGCTGATACGACCGCTCCTTTGTCCCGAGGGTGTGGATATTGTGGAACAATCTACAAGAGGAAGCTTTTCCCAGTTTACTAACCTTAGGCATTTCAAAAGTCGTATTAACAAAATTTCTTTGGCATCATCATAGCAGCCGCGGTGCTCCGTCTGCCTGCGCCGCTGCTTCGATATATAAAAAAAATATTTGTTACTGATCATTTATGATAAAAGTGAACACGTGTTTTCAATAGTTTGAGGGTTGAATCGATATTAAACAATGATGTTTTTTTCGCATTTTCTGAGGAAGTAAAAATGTTTTGATACGAGGTTTTGCCACTAGACCATCGATATGTGGTTTCGTTTGTCAAGTTAAATACAAGCTTCTAAAAATTAATGAATGATTTCACAAACTTATTTGAAAAACGTCAAAGCAGACGTCAAATGTCAACAAAAATTGGAAGCAGAGTACTACTCCCTCGTTTCCAGAATTCACTTTCGGTGCGAGAACCATAAGGAACGGTTTTGCTTGTTTGAACTGTCACGTCCGTATCAACCGTCTCGATTAATACATATCTCATTCGACGATGTGGCGCTTAATAAAGCTATGCACACAGCTAATAACAATACTCAGATAAGCGAACATTATGGAATAATTTAACGATATAACTTTGTTTTTTGTGTTGGAAAAATGCTTAGCATGGTATAGCAGTGTTCTGCTTGGTGAACAGCCTGCGGAAGTGGAATAATGCAAAAAATGCAAAAACGGACATTAAAGTTATCGTGTGAGTAGTGCCTATGGCTGGTTGGGCATTTAAAAGTCCCGTAGTTCGATTATATTATTTTAATTCAATAGATTATAAACCTTATCATGAAATACGGGACGGTATAGCGGGGCTACACAACATTTTCTCGCTTAAACTGTTAGACAGTGTTGTAGCTTGGTCCTCAGGGCCCACCTAAGGCCGTTTCCTGATTTGTCGGTACGGCGGCGGTATGCTCGGTATACGCGGTACCGAAAACTTAGGAGCGCCTATATTTCAATGTGTCCTTTCTGATCTGATTAGCGCGGATTGTGCGGGGGTGGGGAGGGATCCGTTCGGTTTACCGCGTCGCGGCACGCTCGTCCAGGCGGCGCTCGGGATTCACCGCAGGTATACGCACATGCACTGCAAAATGGCGACAATACATTTAACTTTAGTACTGGAAATTGAAAAGCATCCTGTGTTGTTTAATTATTGGATTCAAAAGCTGTTCATATGTTTCTTTTGACATTCTATACATAGATCAAAATTTTGTATCATCATGTGAAAGTTCTTTTGCTGCATCAAATAGTCGACAGTTAATATTATTTTCGATGTAAGGATGACGCCAATAAGGTTTTCTTTATTTACGTATACGGAGATACAAATAACACGCCAAAATATCATCATCACTCGAACTCGAAGACGACATCTCGAAATCAGGAAACGGCCTAACTGTAGTCCGAAATGGAGGGTAATATTTGAAGTATAAATCTTGGTGAATGCGTTAATTCTAGAAATTTAGACATGATTTTTGTTTTGCACTGTCTGAAACAAGTAAATATATTTGGTGTCTTAGTAGGTACTGCTACTCCATTTTTTTTTTAAATCCTTTAAATAGTAATGACGTTATGTGCGAAAATCAAAATAGCTTTCAAATTGTGCTAAAGAATGTTTTTGTATGCTTTACAACTTTTGAAAATGTTTAAGGGTGATCAAACATCTTTGTGGTGAGGTTGAAATCCCTAAAAATCATTAATGATTGCTTCAGGTTAGGGCATATTTATGATTATTATGGAGCTCAAACATTTTGTTTCTTTATCAAGGCTCATCTTGAGTCATGGAAAATTTGAAAACAGCGGTAGGTGAATGCTTATGTACCAAGTACCAAGTCAATCTAGTTGCCAAAGGATTTCAGCGTTTCAAAATTTGGAGCCTCGGAAGACAGTACCATGCTTGATAAACAAAATTGGCTCATAGAAGTCCTAAGATATTTCAATAAACATCAACTTTGAAAAGGTTTTTTCAGCTGTCGCAGTTGGAATTCCCTGAAAACTTGCTTGAGATTGCAAAAAAAGTTACTTATATTTTTTTCGTTCGTGGGGGCCCCTGTAAGCCCCGTATCATTGATTCGGCTGCGCCCCTCCTGTCAGATATGGCCATGATTTCGTTGGAATTCTAGAAGTAGTAGATCTTTCTCGAATAGACGATTCGTGTTTTTTGGCAGAGCAGCAACTTTGTACACCCATTGATCAGCCACGATTCTTTCGAATGTGAAATTACTTTAAAAATGAACGTTCAAACTATAACTAATAATGATAACAGATTTTATTAAAAAAAAATAACAAAATGTTCTTCAAAAAGCAAAATGTCCATGAGGATGGCGAAGTCTAAAAGCAAATGAACATTTTTTGGAAATGCATAACAATTTCTAGTTATAAGGGATAAAAATGTAAGAAAAACAAATCCACCTTACACTACTAATGATGAGCATTAATATGAAAATAAATATCAG